AGGGATTGGCAGAGGTGGGTGAGGGATGGAAGCCAGTGGAGGGTCTGGCAGAGAGGTAGTGGGATGGAAGCCAGTGGAGGGATTGGTGGAGATAGGAGAGGGATGGAAGCCAGTGGAGGGATTGGCAGAGGGGGCGGGGGATGGAAGCCAGTGGAGGGATTGGCAGAGGGGGCGGTGGATGGAAGCTAGTGGAGGGATTGGCAGAGAGGGCGGGAGATATAAATATGCAAATTAGAAAACGACCACAATGCATTGCGGGAGTAAGCAGAAAGTCCCTGTAAATTGTAAAGGCTGCAAAGTTAATCAGAGATTATAGGAGATCAGCAGCTCCGTTACTAAATGCCAGGTCCACTCCAGGGGTAGTTTAGAGTCTTTGGGATAAGTCAAAATGGCCCCAACACCTGGCAAATGTGCAGTAGTGGCAGGAAGGTGATAATATGTTGCTGCTACACGTGCATGGTACTTTAAATGTACACAAAAGGCACACCCAGCAAATGTCTGTAGCTGCCTCAGTACTGTATAGGTTGTGTGAACAGACAGGCCCTCTTCTAAAGTCTCCTTCATCTGTCTGTAGGTATGGAACTGGAGCCGCGGATTGTAGAAATTAGCAGGGTGAGTGCAGACGCATTTTCATAATCTCTGTTGCCGTGTCTCCGTGCACCACGTGTAAACCTTTCCCATCCTGTGTCTCCATCCTCAGGGGCCCAGTGATGCTCTGGGGGTCAGCATAGCTGGTGGAAAAGGAAGCCCACTAGGAGACATTCCTGTGTTCATCGCGATGATACAAGCCAGCGGAGTTGTCGCCCGCACACACAAACTGAAAGTAAGTGCTGAGTCTCTGTTATGGTCCTCAATTTTGTTAAATCACACCGAGCATTAGTGATCCCAGTGTTCCACACCCCTCCCCCAACACATACTGCTTGCCATCATAAATGCCCTGCACTCCCCTCCTGCACCTACTGCCTGCCATCATACCCTCTGCACTCCTTCCCTGCACCTACTGCCTGCCATCATACCCTCTGCACTCCTTCCCTGCACCTACTGCCTGCCATCATACCCTCTGCACTCCTTCCCTGCATCTACTGCCTGCCATCATACCCTTCGCACTCCTGCACCTACTGCCTGCCATCATACCCTTCGCACTCCTCCGCTGCACCTACTGCCTGCCATCATACCCTCCGCACTCCTGCACCTACTGCCTGCCATCATACCCTCCGCACTCCTCTGCTGCACGTACTGCCTGCCATCATACCCTCTGCACTCCTTCCCTGCATCTACTGCCTGCCATCATACCCTCTGCACTCCTTCCCTGCACCTACTGCCTGCCATCATACCCTCTGCACTCCTCCCCTGCACCTACTGCCTGACATAACCTCTGCACTCCTCCCCTGCACCGACCTACTGCCTGCCATCATACCCTCTGCACTCCTCCCCCGCACCTACTGCCTGCCATCATAACCTCTGCACTCCTTCCCTGCATCTACTGCCTGCCATCATACCCTCCGCACTCCTTCCCTGCATCTACTGCCTGCCATCATACCCTCCGCACTCCTTCCCTGCATCTACTGCCTGCCATCATACCCTCCGCACTCCTTCCCTGCATCTACTGCCTGCCATCATACCCTCTGCACTCCTCCCCTGCATCTACTGCCTGCAATTATACCCTCCTCACCTCTCTTGTACACTGACCAGCAATATACCGTCTGCATATAGCGCACCATAGCGTATTCATTGCACTCCTGCATGTATGCCTGCCATCATACCCTCCACGCTCCTTTCCTGTATGTATGCCTTCCATCAAACTCTTTGCACTCTTCTCCTGCACATTCTGCCTGCTGTCATACCATTCCCACTCCTCTCATGCACTTTCTGCACCCATCATATCCTCCATACTATTCCCCTGCCTCCTGTCATACCCTCCTCTCCTGTAAATAGTGCCCCCTGTCATACCCTCCTCACTCCTTTCCTGCACATACTGCTTCCTTTTATACCCTCCTCACTCCTTTCCTGCACATACTGCCCCCTGTCATGCCCTCCTTATTCCTTCCCTGCACATACTGCCCTCTGTCATACCCTCCTCACTCCTTTCCTGCACATACTGCCCCCTGGCATACCCTCACTCATTTCCTGTACATACTGCCCCCTGTCATACCCTCCTCACTCCTTTCCTGCATGTACTGCCCCCTATCATACCCTCCTTATTCCTTTCCTGTACATACTGCCCCCTGGCATACCCTCCTCACGCCTCTCCTGCACATACTGCCCCTGGCATACCCTCCTCACTCCTTTCCTGCATGTACTGCCCCCTATCATACCCTCCTTATTCCTTTCCTGTACATACTGCCCCCTGGCATACCCTCCTCACGCCTCTCCTGCACATACTGCCCCTGGCATACCCTCCTCACTCCTTTCCTGCATGTACTGCCCCCTATCATACCCTCCTTATTCCTTTCCTGTACATACTGCCCCCTGGCATACCCTCCTCACGCCTCTCCTGCACATACTGCCCCTGGCATACCCTCCTCACTCCTTTCCTGCATGTACTGCCCCCTATCATACCCTCCTTATTCCTTTCCTGTACATACTGCCCCCTGGCATACCCTCCTCACGCCTCTCCTGCACATACTGCCCCTGGCATACCCTCCTCACTCCTTTCCTGCATGTACTGCCCCCTATCATACCCTCCTTATTCCTTTCCTGTACATACTGCCCCCTGGCATACCCTCCTCACGCCTCTCCTGCACATACTGCCCCTGGCATACCCTCCTCACTCCTTTCCTGCATGTACTGCCCCCTATCATACCCTCCTTATTCCTTTCCTGTACATACTGCCCCCTGGCATACCCTCCTCACGCCTCTCCTGCACATACTGCCCCTGGCATACCCTCCTCACTCCTTTCCTGCATGTACTGCCCCCTATCATACCCTCCTTATTCCTTTCCTGTACATACTGCCCCCTGGCATACCCTCCTCACGCCTCTCCTGCACATACTGCCCCTGGCATACCCTCCTCACTCCTTTCCTGCATGTACTGCCCCCTATCATACCCTCCTTATTCCTTTCCTGTACATACTGCCCCCTGGCATACCCTCCTCACGCCTCTCCTGCACATACTGCCCCTGGCATACCCTCCTCACTCCTTTCCTGCATGTACTGCCCCCTATCATACCCTCCTTATTCCTTTCCTGTACATACTGCCCCCTGGCATACCCTCCTCACGCCTCTCCTGCACATACTGCCCCTGGCATACCCTCCTCACTCCTTTCCTGCATGTACTGCCCCCTATCATACCCTCCTTATTCCTTTCCTGTACATACTGCCCCCTGGCATACCCTCCTCACGCCTCTCCTGCACATACTGCCCCTGGCATACCCTCCTCACTCCTTTCCTGCATGTACTGCCCCCTATCATACCCTCCTTATTCCTTTCCTGTACATACTGCCCCCTGGCATACCCTCCTCACGCCTCTCCTGCACATACTGCCCCTGGCATACCCTCCTCACTCCTTTCCTGCATGTACTGCCCCCTATCATACCCTCCTTATTCCTTTCCTGTACATACTGCCCCCTGGCATACCCTCCTCACGCCTCTCCTGCACATACTGCCCCTGGCATACCCTCCTCACTCCTTTCCTGCATGTACTGCCCCCTATCATACCCTCCTTATTCCTTTCCTGTACATACTGCCCCCTGGCATACCCTCCTCACGCCTCTCCTGCACATACTGCCCCTGGCATACCCTCCTCACTCCTTTCCTGCATGTACTGCCCCCTATCATACCCTCCTTATTCCTTTCCTGTACATACTGCCCCCTGGCATACCCTCCTCACGCCTCTCCTGCACATACTGCCCCTGGCATACCCTCCTCACTCCTTTCCTGCATGTACTGCCCCCTATCATACCCTCCTTATTCCTTTCCTGTACATACTGCCCCCTGGCATACCCTCCTCACGCCTCTCCTGCACATACTGCCCCTGGCATACCCTCCTCACTCCTTTCCTGCATGTACTGCCCCCTATCATACCCTCCTTATTCCTTTCCTGTACATACTGCCCCCTGGCATACCCTCCTCACGCCTCTCCTGCACATACTGCCCCTGGCATACCCTCCTCACTCCTTTCCTGCATGTACTGCCCCCTATCATACCCTCCTTATTCCTTTCCTGTACATACTGCCCCCTGGCATACCCTCCTCACGCCTCTCCTGCACATACTGCCCCTGGCATACCCTCCTCACTCCTTTCCTGCATGTACTGCCCCCTATCATACCCTCCTTATTCCTTTCCTGTACATACTGCCCCCTGGCATACCCTCCTCACGCCTCTCCTGCACATACTGCCCCTGGCATACCCTCCTCACTCCTTTCCTGCACATACTGCCCCCTGGCATACCCTCCTCACGCCTCTCCTGCACATACTGCCCCTGGCATACCCTCCTCACTCCTTTCCTGCATGTACTGCCCCCCTATCATACCCTCCAGCACTTATTTGGTTCAGCTTAACAAAAAATGTTCCAGCCTGTGTATTCTGTCCTCTTCTGTCAGATCTTATATGTTCAAAAGCCGTAATAATAATAAATGGCCACGCATGCGTTTTGGATTATTCAACAATCAGGTTGAAAAGTGTGTAAACAAATAAATTTGATCTCCTCCATTCCCTGTTGTATGGCGTCCTGCAATGCGTCTTCCGTAACACCTCCATCATGTTGCTTTCCCAGGTTGGAGATCGGATTGTCAGTATTAACAGGCAGCCCCTGGAAGGCTTCACTCACGCGGAAGTGGTTAACATCCTGAAGAACGCCTTCGGTGCCATCACCTTGGAGGTAGGTTCGAGTGGTGTGACACACATCTGCAAGCGATAGATAAACCGAACCGAAAACCATGTGGCGTCCCTGGCCACGGACCACGTTGTCCCCTCACGTTCTTATTCCTGACGTCTCCACGTGCTTCTTAACCAGCGGCACAAAGTCTCTGTGTAACCGCTCATAAGTAAACCCGCCGCTTTCAGCTCTCATCAGAAAATTGCAGCGCACCACCTAACGCGATTGGCATTCGGTTTATTAGGCGCACTGTATGGGGAGCTTCCAGTTCACTGAGCCGTGATGGATTACTACCTCCGGATTCCGTCTGTGGCAATATTTAAACTGCTGCTTTATGTGTTTGTGTGTTGATAGGAAGCCTCGGTGTGCTGACATCTGTCTGCAGAGATTGCACGCTACTGGGGACACAGGCGGCGTTTATCCTTCAAATGTTGTCCCAGTCGCCGGTGTTCGATGGTTCGTTCGCTAGGCACGAGAGACATTACTGAGGCGCAGAGCTATACACACCTCCTAGTGTTGTGCTCACCTTTAAAGTGCCCGACCACCGAATCTCATATGAGGGCCAACATGCAAAATATGATTTTTAAAAGTCATTTGCAGTCTTCTTAAATCTGCAGCTTTCCTTAAAATAATCCCTGGTAAATCTGCCATGAAGGTCCTTGTTAAGGCACTTCCTGTAATGAGGTGACAGTGCTCTGTCCCGGTCACCCAACCGTGCTCCTGCGTTGTCACCATATGACACAGGCTTCGGACGGATAGGTGTGTGCGGGATGGGGTTGGAAACAAGGGAGTCCAACCAGGAGTCGAGCTTTAAATAGGTTGTCACTAATGTGTTGTGTGCACAGAGCCTAGAGTTATACAATCCCAGTCTGTATGCCCCTCCCTCCTGTAAAGTCCCGGCTACATATATGCTAATGAGGTCATCTTTTAGAAAGAGTGCCCCATTATAAGCACACTAATGCCCCTTAATGACTGCTGCTGTTCTTTAAATCCTACATTTCCCAGAATCCTCTTCTGCCCACACTTGTAATTGGTTCACTGCCCTTCCCGGACCTCTGCACAGAATTCGAGGTTGAATTGCAGGCATTTACTAAAAACCACAACAGCATACAGCTCTGCATGCTGATATGAAATCATTGTACATTCATGAGTTCAACAAACATATTTTTATTTTACTTACAATTATTGTTTGTTTCACTTCCTGGTCCTCTTGGGCATTAGTGATGTAACTGTGCCCAAGTGTTGCATTCTGGGAAGCTTACATCAGCAGAGCATTGCTGGGAAATCTCATCTGTAGTCTCAGGAGATCTCGGGGAAAGGCATTTTCTTCACCTGAGAGGATGGTCACATGTCCTAGTCACATGTGCCAGAGTTCCAGGAAGTAAAGGGAGATCTAGTAACCCGCCCTTAGTTAAAATGGCCACTGTGAGACGAATGGGGGGGGGGGCAAGGTATGCAAAGAATAAAAAGCTGGCAATTATCTAGAAGTATCTGGTTGTAGATTGTTATTCGTAGACATTTCCAAGGGTGCCGTTGTTGTCGGAGATGAGGGTAAAGTTCATCTTTAAAGCACAACTTCGGACAGATTTAAAAAACAAAACAAATGGTGCCCCGGATGGTGTGAATAGGGTCACTAGCGTGGTACTTATTTTTAAAGATTTCTTCCGGAGATCCTTGCTGTCTATTGCTGACCCAAAAAGAAATATATTTTTTTCCCTATTCAACTGAAGTTTCACTTTTTTAGGTAGTTTTAATGTATGAGCGGAAATTGCCTTATCTATATAGTAGCTAATAGCTTGCGTTATCAGCCGATAATCATGACAGGCGCGGCGTAGAGTCATTTTGTGCCTTATCGGAGTGGAGCGGCGCAGCACAGTTTAGTGAAAGGTCAGGTAATTGTGTTCAGTAGGGTAGAAAGTCTTATTATCTCCACATCCAGCTCACGGATCTCTTACTAGACACATGCTGTTTGAACACTGAAGATTAGCTTCTCCCGGGAGCTCGATGTTCTGCTCCCACGCCAACCCACCGCTTAATCCGTCAGTCACAGATGTTCTGGGGAGATAATGACGGATGTTGGGCTTCAGGTGTCACAAATGTCTAAAACGGGGACTGTGTTTCTCCTAGAGACCCACCAAAGCTGCCCTGTGCCTAGGACAGGTTACACAGCGACTGATTACTATGGGCGATTCACACTTTTCTAATATTGGTGCCTGGTCAGGGGTGCTTTTATTATCCAGTCCGCCTCCCATCTTAGGAACTTGTGTACGTATCTGACAGCATACACAATGTGCCCAAAATGTGGAGGACACCCGCCCATCGCAGCGAATATGAGCTGGTTGGGACCACCCATTCCAAAACCAAGGGCATTAATATGGAGTTGGCTCCCTTTTGCAGCTATAACAACTTCCACTGCTCTGCAAAGCCTTTCCACAAGATTTTGTAGTGTGTCTGTGGGAATGTTTGCCTGAGTTGGCCAGAAGGTCTTAGATGGGCAAAGATGGACTATAATCCATTGAAACATTGGCCAAAATAATCTCCTATGAGGACGTACGCTTCTGCTGATGACCCATGAATGCCTCTACTACTTGCTATTCATCTAGTGAGGTCAGGTACTGATGTTGGGTCGATATCGGTGTTCCAATTCATCCCAAAGGTGCCCAGTAGGGTTGAGGTCAGAGCTCTGTGCTGACCAGTCTAGCTCCTCCACACCAAACTCATCAAACCGTGTCTTTCTGGAGCTGGCTTTGTACACAAGGGCACAGGCATGCTGGAACAGAAAAGTGTCTTCACCAAACTGTTACCACAAAGCTGGAAGAGCAAAATTGTCAAAAAGGTCTTTCTATGCTGTAGAATCAACAGCACCCTGTTTCCCCGAAAATAAGACCTAGTACTTTTTTTGGGAATTGCTAAAATATAAGACCTACCCCGAAAATAAGACCTAGTTGTGACCATTCCCAGGGCCGGTGGTGGCATAAGGGGGAACTTGAAGAGCTGCCGGAGAGAATCGGCGGTGCCAATGAAGCCAGCGCTAGAGGAAGCGAGGCGGCAGCGGAGGGAGCAGAGCCGCATAAGCCGATGCCTCCTCTATACCGCCGGCTCCTGTCACTGGCGGAGTGATACCAAATGCACTCCGCATGTGAGGAATTGATAGTGAAAGTGCGTTTCGCCCATTCTGGCCAGCGATTGGTTAACAAATTGCTCTTGGAAAGGTACGGCACCCCTGATTGCCCTGATCACCCTATGCTTAACTTTGCCATTTTGGATGATATAAATTTGGATTTGCGTTAACTTTGGATTGTTATACGTGAAAAAAATAAGACCTACCCCGAAAATAAGACCTAGTGCGTTTTTTTGAGCCAAAAAAAAAATATAAGACAGTGTCTTATCTTCGGGGAAACACAGTATGAACGCCATCATTTAGAGGGGTGTCCACATGCATTTGGCTATATAGGTAGGTGTAAAGATCAGGTGTCCACATGCATTTGACTGGTATGACCATTACAAGGGGGTCCCATTCTACCTGTTGGGCTTTTAGATTTATAATCTGGAAAAATACAAAGGGAGTGGAGGCGACATTCAGAAATGGCTCTGTTGCTGCAGGCAGAGAACGACTTCAGAGTGAGCAGGAACAGAGCCAGGAACTGTATTGGAGAGGTCTCTATTGAAAGAGAAGTCGGAGGACCTGAGCATCTATACCTGAAATATCATGGACTAGCTCTTTAATAGGTTGCTTCCCGCTCCTTAACCCCGCCTTGCCTATAGTATAATTTCCTTGTACCCCAATAGATTGCCAGCTCTTCCTCTCTCTCAATGTTGTGATTACATGCTAGTATATTATAATCTAAAATAAACCCATACCTTCCATCGATTCAAGATATCTGCCGTCTCTGGTAATTCTGTTTATAGTCGCACAATATGTTTCCTTTCTTATTGTGCAGAATTTGAACCACAATGAACGTTCTGCTCCCCCCACAACATGGGTGCCACCTGTGTGCATGAGACAGGTGCACTTTATTTTGTCCACCAGTCCCGTTTCTCAGTTTGAAGTTGCAGAGGGTAAAGATGTTCTCTGCTGTTCTTCACACGTTTAAATACAAAAGTGAACACTTTCTTCTCTTTTCATCTTGTTCTTGGCCAATAAATAATTTATTTCTGTTCTGTTTAAAAATTCCACTTTACCTTTAATGATATGCAGCTCAATATCGCCGGCCACGCGGTATGGACAGGCTAGGAGAGGAATACGGAAATGAACAGTGGTCTCACTTATAATAATGGAGCTGATGGCCCTAAGCTACCTGACAACTTTAAACGTCCAAAGAGCAAATCCAGACGAGTGACAGGACTCTGTAAACTGATAATTCTGTCCAGCAAACCCTGCTCCTCTGCTAAAGACAGGAGGAGGGATACAGGGGAAGACCCATGTGTGTGCTGGAGGAGGGATACAGGGGAAGACCCATGTGTGTGCTGGAGGAGGGATACAGGGGAAGACCCATGTGTGTGCTGGAGGAGGGATACAGGGGAGGACCTATGTGTGTGCTGGAGGAGGGATACAGGGGAGGACCTGTGTGTGTGCTGGAGGAGGGATACAGGGGGAAGACCTATATGTGTGTGTGCTGGAGGATGAATACAGGGGAAGACCTATATGTGTGTGTGCTGGAGGAGGGATACAGGGGAGGACCTGTGTGTGTGTGTGTGTTGGGTGAATGATGAAGGGGAAAGACAAATGTTTCTGCTGGAGGTGGGATCTCACCAAGGAAAGGCAAGTGTGTGGGCTGGAGGTATGATGTCAATGGGTAAGGACTAGGAAGGCAAATTGAATGTAGAACTTAGAGATGATATAATATAATAAAGGATGTTAGACCCCCAACAATGAACTAACAAATCATTTACCATCTTTTTCACATTTTATTTACCTGTAAAAGCCTCACTTTTGTAGACATCTTAAAGCCCTGACACTTCTGCTGGGTGCCGCCATCTTGGATCTGATGTCAGCAGCCCCAGCAGACTCAGAGCGGTCACTCCAATTACACCCTCTAGTATTCCCCTTTGCTGCTCCCCCAGCAGCTACATCAAAGGTTATGTAGGGAGGTGAAAGGAGAGGCGCAGGGGTTAAATCTCAAATAAGGGAGTTTTACAAAAAATACCTTTTCCCTTACTCCAGCAGACTCCCTCCTCTGTGTGACCGGTCCCCTGAAGCTTCTTCTCTAAGACATTACGACCAGAGGTCACACGGTGACATCATTAAGTACAATGCAGGGATAATAGCCCTACATTTGAATGTGAGGACGGCGAGGGACCACCCAGAACCTTGGGGTGTCTGGGAGAAGGGGAAAGTCCGAAAGTTTGCTGAAGTGAGGAATAAGGAAAATATTACATCTTATTCCTAAACCCATAGAGCATTTACCCTATAGGCAGTGTGTGCGGGAATGGGGATGGGGGTGCAATGGTGAGCCCACTGCAAGGGTAGTTTTTGTTCAGTTTTAAGCCTACACAGAAAGTAATTCGACGTTCCCAGAAGAAGGGAGTCCTGTGGCACGCAAGGATGGCGGGGGCTGTACTAGGGATTTGACCGATTTTACTAGCCAGCTCAAAGACACATTGCAAAAATAAAAATGATTTAAATTGAAAAAGCTAAAAGTAAAAATTGATTTTCTCTGCTTTTACATCCAGTTTTAAAGTTGGTGACAGGGTCTCTTTAAGAGATGTTGGGTCATTCATAATGTTTTATTACTGGCCTCTGTTCTGCTGGGGAAAGGCCGCGGTGATGTGGCCCATACCTCTTCTGAACAGTTCAATTAAACAGATTGTCTCCTGTGTATATGGAGCGAGGGCGCAATTTGTTTTATTTATTCCGCTTTGGGGGGGAAGGGTGCCGCGCTCAGGTAAATGGGATTGCTGTGTTGTACTGCTGAGTTTTATGTACCTTTTTTATGTTCTAGGTTGTAGCAGATACGAACATAAGTGCCATCGCCAGTCAACTGGAGAGCATGTCGCTGAGCCAGAGCATGACATCTGAGCACCCCGGCGAGGAGGCTGAGTGAGTACACAGCGTAAATCTTTCAGGCGGACGTAACAGGCAATGGACACACACAGGAGCGTCCCATCCACATGATCTCACTGCTCATAGTGACTGACCTTGAAAAATATGCAGATCAGGAGTCCTGAGTATGCTCTGACCTTAGTGCAAATTTTTTTTAATATACTTATATTTTTTTTAAGTCTTCAGGCCAATCACATGATGTGAGCAGTTGTGTTCCTTTTTCAGCCTTTTTACCTGGTGGTGATGGTCTTCCAGATGTCCATATGATGTCAGTGCCGCTGCCTGCATTAGTATACTGTGAATGAATGGGGCCGTGGTGACATGTCATCGGGGCGGGCCCATGACACCCCGCATTCACAGTATTGTTCTTAGTCTTCTAGATTGTGTGATCCCGGGTGACATCTTGTGGCAGAAAATAAGTACTGCAGATGGCTGCTCCAGACTAAAGGGGTGATTTTTGCAGCCAGAGATGTCTTTTTATTTTTTTTTTAACTGGCTGGGTAACCATATAAAAAATTGCCTTTTTTTAGGAGAAGGTCAGCAATGGCCAGCCTCTGGATTTCTTTCGGAAAACGTTCAAGCCAATTATAGGAAATGTTTTTGGACTTAAATGGATAACACAATCTCTCTAAATGTGCAGACCCGGAAACTCAATACAGAGCTGGTGGGAGCCCCTCATAATGGGCACAGCAGGTGCACAGACCCGGGAACTCAGCACATGAATGGTGGGAGCGCCTCATAATGGGGACAGCAGGTGTACAGACCCGGGAACTCAGCACAGGGATGGTGGGAGCCCCTCATAATGGGGACAGCAGGTGTACAGACCCGGGAACTCAGCACATGAATGGTGGGAGCCCCTCATAATGGGGACAGCAGGTGTACAGACCCGGAAACTCAGGGCTGGGATGGTGGGAACCCCCATAATGGTCACAGCAGGTGTACAGGCCCGGGAACTCAGCACAGGGATGGTGGGAGCCCCTCATAATGGGCACAGCAGGTGCACAGACCCGGGAGCACAGCACAGGGATGGTGAGAGCCCCTTATAATGGGCACAGCAGGTGTACAGACCCGGGAACTCAGCACAGGGAAGGTGGGAGCCCCTCATAATGGGGACAGCAGGTGTACAGACCCGGAAACTCAGTGCTGGGATGGTGGGAACCCCCATAATGGTCACAGCAGGAACTCAGTGCAGGGGTTTCAGCTGATTTGGTGAGACTGTTGCCGGTCCAGTCAGTTTCTGCAGGTGTCCTAGTTTCATTCCACGAGTCCATGTCATTCCTTCTGTGTTGTCATTCAGCAGATCCCCTGTGCCAAATGTAATTCACCTGGAGAAAGGAGCGGATGGGCTCGGGTTTAGTATCGTCGGAGGATACGGAAGCCCTCACGGGGATCTTCCAATCTATGTCAAGACTGTATTTACCAAGGTGAGTTCTTGTATCTCTGCAGATGTGTAATATGTTATAGCTCATCAATGGAGTTACAATGAGAGCTGTGCTGGGTCTGTCTGTATTGTAGTGACTCGAGGGAGCATGGAGCCGGCTTCCCAGCCAATCAGGAAGCTGGGCGCCGTTTCATTACACAGCGCCTGGCTTGCTGATTGGCCAGAAAGCTGGCCATGCTTTCTCATCAGGGGCGTCACAAGGCTGGGTGACACCCGGAGCGGTAACAGAGTGTCACCCCGCCGAGACGTCACCGCGCGTGCGGCAGTATTCTGAGAGAGGGGACAGTCACCCGGCGGGATAAGGTATGCCGCCGGCAGAGAGAGGAGGGGACAGTCACCCGGCGGGATAAGGTATGCCGCCGGGTCCCCTCCTCTCTCCTGATACTGTCGGGCATTCGGTCCATGACCGAGTGCTCAACTTTTCAGAGGGGGTGACACCAAAATGACTGCAAGTCATTTTGGTGTCCCCCGGGTGCGGGCCGCACCCCCCTTGTGACGCCACTGTTTCTCATCACCTAGTGACGAGAAGCATGGGGACGGCTTCCCTGCTAATCGGGAAGCTGGGTGGCGAGTCATTACACGCCGCCTGGCTTCCTTAATGGGACTTCCGGTATCGGCGAGGGCCGTAAAAAAAAATATCAGTACTCGTACTCTATACTGAAATACCAGTATCAGTGCATCCCTTATTATACAGGATTTATATAGCGCCGTGCAGTGCTTTACAATATAAGGAAGACATTACAATACAATTCAAGACAAGATGGTGCGGTGGTTAGTAAGGTAGATAGTAGGTGGATCCTCCCACACTGGCTCTGTTAGGTGCAGGTAAGAACATGCAATGGAGCTAAGTTATAGTT